AACATCATACTCCAATGGGCAAAATCTAAAACCATTTCCCCTAAGAACAGGAATAAGACAGGGATGTCTGCTTTCACCACTCTTATTCAACACTAGAGGCCCGGTGCACGAAATTCATGCACTCGGGGGGCGGGGATCCCTCAGCCTGGCCTGCACCCTCTCGAAGTCCGGGAGCCCTCAGGGGATGTCCGACTGACATCCTTAGTTCTGCCTCGGAGGCGGGAGAGGCTCCCACCACCGCCACTGCCACTGTGCTCGCCAGCTGGGAGCCTGGCTTCTGGCTGAGCGACACTCCCCCTGTGGGAGTATACTCACCACTAGGGGGCAGCTCCTGCATTGAACATCTGCCCCCTGGTGGTTAGTGCATCATCATATGACCGGTCATTTGGTCGATCAGTCGTAATGGTCGCTTTGGTTTTTATATATATAATTTCAGGATGTCATCCAGGTTCAGTGTTGGTGAGAATTAAAAATATGAATAAGAAAAGGAGAATTCAAACTTCCAGTAAAAAAAAAGAAAAGCCAAATAAAAATACCAATAAATCAAGGAGATAATTATAATTATTTCCTTTGAAGAAACTGAAACATGACCTTAATCATGGCTACAAAGGACATTGGGCTCTTTTGAGACACTGACTTCAGCAGCAGAGTAGAATTTAATTTGGGGGCTAGAGCACAGCTGAACTTTGGTATAACCACAGTTGTCAAGTTTTCAAATGCTTCAAGAGTGGTAACTGTACTTATTTTCACTGTTTTTCTCAATAATTAATTAAAAGTGAAAAAAGTATATTACATATTATATATATATACTAGAGGCCCGGGGCACAAAAATCTGTGCACTGGTGGGGGGAGGGGAGGGTCCTCAGCCCGGCCTATGCCCTCTCGCAGTCTGGGACCTCTCAGGGGATGACCATATGCTGGCTGAGGCCTGCCAGGGTATTGGGCCTAAGCTGGCAATCAGACATTCCTCTGGCAGCCTGGCAGCCCTCGGAGGAAGTCCACTTGCCAGCGGGGAGCAGAAC